CGGCATACACTGGTGTTAAACCCAACATCATCAATTATACCCACTAAAATTATACAAAGCTAGATCACGTATCGCTCACTGATCCATATAGCGAATATCATTGTAAAAAGAGCTGTGTAAATGAAATGGCGTTCAACGTCCTACTTTTGTGCAATAACCAGGCTAAAGAAGATGGCCCTACGCCATGCTGCATACTATGAGGGAAATTTTGCCTGAACAGCAGCATTTCACATTTAACTCCAACTGTCAAGCAGTCTTTTACATGCATGCAAATATGTACACAGGACGTTGGTTTTCGGTACCATCCTTATAACTAGAAGCTGTTCCCCCTGTCCTGCACAAATGACAAGGGAAAATAGATCTGTGTATCTAAAAAGCATATGATACAATATATATGACATTTTGTAAAATAAAATTAAAAATCATGCAGTTTAGTTTGATTATATTTTGTTTCTCATGGATGGTGAACACAGACAAACTATTTTCCTATTAAATGAGCCTAGGGTCAAAATACAACAAAAATACTGCAAAGAAATTAGATTTTCTTGAAAATATATAATAAAAATAAAGTTTAAATTTCTGAAAAAAGTTGTTTATAAAACCATTTTAATAAGCAAAGTGATACAAATTTTAATGTTTGTCTATCACAATAAACCATTTTGCCAACTCAGCTAAACACTGACATACTTGTTATAGTCCAAATTTTAGGTTCCATGTATCAAATCCACTGGCCTATATTTAGGAATTATTTCAATGATCACGCATTCAATTAATGTTTAGTGTTAGGTTGCGATGAATAATGGACCTACAAACATAATAACAGCTGGTATAAGTGTATTTATCAATATTTGCATAAAGACATATTACTACTAAAGTCACATAATACACGCCTGTCGACATTCTGATTCATTCACACATCATTTTACTCACGCAACACAAAATTACATCAATGCTACAGCATGCAATCTGTTAAATATTAATGTCAACCAAGAGGGTGTGCTGTGAAGAGTGTAGTGTGAAGAGTTAAAGTGGGTGTCACCTAGGATGATAAGTGCTATTAAAAGTTATTTGTTTAATATCTCTTATTCTAGTTTGTTATAATGTTATCTTTGTAAGTGCTGAAGAAAGCCATGTCTAAAACATTAAGAAACTATCAAATATCTTGTCTTGGCCTTAAAATTGGTATCAAGGTACACATTTCAACTTGGAAAGGAAAGAGGTTAGATTAGTTTTACTATACTATATATTATCTAGATAGGTAGTTAAAGGGTTAAAGATAAAGCAATTTTGAGACTGAAAGGGTTAATTTTAACAGAGCGTGATAGTTAAGTTTGAAGTAAATGAATTTGTATTTCAGGGGTAAATTGATAACAAACACAGTTTCTTTTGGTTGAAAACAAACTTTATAGCGAGAAATAAATCAACATAATTTTAATATAATATTAAAATATATAATATAGACTCAATATCAATAAAAAAAAGAATATAATAATATATAAAATCTTTTGATATGTAGATAATTAACTGATAAATATTAAATGATTATGATCATTATTATTAATAGAAGTATGATCATTATTATTAATAGAATTATTCTAATATTTACTAAATTATAAGTTTATATAACAGGCCATTTAATTCTCTTTCCAAGTTGAAAACCTTGCTACAATTCATAAATTAAACTTCTGAACATATTCACTTTTCAATTTGTACTAGATAATTAGAGCAAAATTCCTACAAGTGTTTGTTTTTGGGATGCAATTGTTCAGATTTTGTTACTTATTCAATCCACGAACCTGGTTGATCTGCTTACCAGTCCATGCTGTGCACAACTTGAAATAATTTGTAATTTTTAAAAAATTAACCAAAATTAAAAAAATAGAAGTCAAAACATGAAGTTAATACATGCAAGTATTCAAAGGAAAAGGTAAATTTTGTTCATCTTTTAGACGAAACCTATTCATTTGCTATTGATACACAGTACGTCCAAATTCCACAGCCTAACTTACGCACAATTGAAGGGTCCTCATTACAAATTACAAGATATCAAAATCAACCAGTTTCAGAAGGGGATTGCGCACTTGGATGGAAAGAGAGAAAAAGAGAGAGAGATGGGGTTTCACGACACAAGCTAGGTCATTTCAGGACAGACATATGGTTCAATTGTTTTTTTTCAATAATTCACATGCACATCTTTAGCAGTGGGGGGAGACCAGAGGACCCGGAGAAAACCAACGAGGTTAGACAGGCGACCCTACTCCTTGTCACGTACATGCGGGGAATTGAAGCCACGCCACTTGACTCAATGACATACCTTCTGATCCAACGCGTACATTTCACCATTCGACCCTCTCCAATTGGATGGAATTGCTTTGATATATTGTTGAGTTTTAAATGACAATATCCAACACAGTTGAATAACATCATCTTGCGAGCAGGGAAGAAGTGGAGTTTAATGTCTTGTCAACACAGCAATGAGGAAAATTTTGCTGTACAACAGTATTTCTCTCTACACTTATTCAAATTCCAACTGCCAAGGGTCTTTTACCTACACAACCAATTTAGAGACAGAGAGAGAGAGAGAGAAATGGAGTTTTAACTCCACTCGACACAAACATATGGTTCAATGTCATTTCAATAGTTTGCTTGCGCATAGGGGGTTTTAATAGTGGGAGGAAACCGGAGGACCTGGAGAAAACCCACAAGTTGGACAGACCATGCCAGTTGACTCAATGACAGACCTTATGATGAAGCGTGCACACGCAAACCATTCAGCCATCCAACCCCACACAAACAATTTAGAGGAGATGTCTTTGATCCATTCAAACAACTAAACACACAGTTTATATTGTCAGTGGAAAGTCCAGTTTCCTTACTATTCAACTACAGCGTCCACATGCAATCATATTCAGACCATGGGCCATGTAGAATATTGGCATACTGTATATATCTATAGTACCTTGCTTTTCATTTGTAGTAAATAGTGCAAGTAACTACAACAGAAATGAACTGCACTGAGTTACAAATTAAATGTGAACAATATTTACTCACCAAAAACAAACAGTTTTCACAACATTAAAAGACAACTTTGTTGACTTATCTAAAATTTAAACATTCTTCATGTACTGGACATGCAATAAATTAGCAGCATTTTTTAAATGTGTTTTCTATTTCTACTTCTAGCATGATGATGTTCAATAAAACTGTGAATGCATGTTAAACAATAATGAAAGGTGCTGATTGAAATGTAAAAGCTGTAATAATTTTTTCTCAGTGTAAACTTAAACAGTGTTCATGACTCTCCATACAAAAGACCTAAAAAAAACTTAGCTTAAAGGAACTAAACCTCTTTAAGGTCAAAATAAAATTCTGATTTGGGTTGATCTGACATGTTATTTTGATTATTGATAGCAAAAGCTCTATATGGTCATATTTTTGTTTCGAAAGATTAGTAAACAGACCGCCTTCCTCTTCATTACAAACTTCAATTTTATTTTTTGCTTTCTGTGTTGACAGTGGAACCCAGTAAACATATAAAATCCAATGACAGCTTTATTTTAAACTTTAAATCAAAGAGATTTAGTCATTTTAAGCCATGCTTAAATGGAAACATCATTTCCATACAAATTATTCAGATAAATTTGGAGCTAAGGGAATGATATGTGTAGCTTAATGGGTGAAGTATGCTAATTTGGGTTAGTCTTCCAGTGATGGAGGAAGCACTCTTGTAGTTGTATGCCTCTCGTTCACTGCAACTCAGGGTAAATAACAAAAAAGATTTATTTGTAAATCACTGTCTCAAGAGTGGGAATATTAATACCGGTACATAACAAAAAAACAACTTATTCATAAAATGGAACATGCTTTCCTTTGTGAATTATATTAAAATGCTGTAAGGTATATAGTTCTTCTACTATTAAAGCATATAATATATTTATTCAGTTACTTTCTACTGTTGGAAAAGCAAATTACTTGTCGCTTATGCATCAACCGTTGTGCCCTTTATATTCCATGTAAATTCATCAACACAATAGATGTTGAAATGATGGGATATAATGGAATGTGAATATGTAGGTGAATACATGTAATAAAATTAAATGTACCAATATAAGTATGTAAATATGGCAAGTTTTGACTTAGTTTGTAGCTTGGTGCTAACTAATAATATGCCAATACACTAACAATCCTAAAGACATTACCTAAATCGCCTACGATAAGATATGACTAACTGGAAATCATGATAAATTTCAATCGAAAAAAAAAAACCCTAAAGGGTATGCTAAATTTGTCTAAAATGAAAATTTTAAAGCATCAAATATGGAAGTCACAACATCAAGGAAATATATAGTAAAAATCCAGTATAATTTTTCACAACATCAAGATTTCGATAAAATTACAGGGGATTTCCCTTAATAAATATTATAATAATTATATGTCACATAGAATTAGAAGATCAACTAGTTGACAATATCTAAATGTAAACAATGATAGTGTATAAATAGACATCAATATGGTGAGTGGTGTTAAATTATGCTGTATATGAGCTGCATGCTATATAAATATGCTGTGTAAATCCACTGTTTAAAGTAGAACTAATCAACAAGGAATCAATTTATCCATATTGCAGAATAATACGCTTGAACGTCAATAAGGAATGTTTAAACATTTATATTATTAATTTTCATAAAAATTCACAACATTTCACAAAACAACAAGTAAAAAACATCATTTGATTTCTTATTATTATCCCTTAAACGTTGATGAATTCTCAACATAATTTGCAATTCTAATGTGTCAAAATTTATGTTTCGGAAACCGAACATGCCAATGCATTGCCATTTACCTACCAATAACTTAAATTAGGCTGTCTAAAAGGATATAATATTTAATCATATGATGTAATTGTAAGAAAAAAGGAAAATAAGATTGTTAGAGTTATGTCCTCCTGACAGGAATCAAGGGATGTAACTCTGCATGCATCAATTTATCTTCTTCTATACCTGGTTGGTTCTTCTTGCTCTAAGACCTTTGCAGGAGGAGTTGGAGTGTTTCTATAGGAATTATTAGTGTTGGCCACTATAGCTTGTTCATTATGTTGTCCTGAAATTTTCAGATAAAAAAATGAAATAGATGTCCATATCATTTACTTCCAAAATTTAAAAGATTTATGATGAAGTAACAAAATATGGCAATAACTACATGAAGATGCATCATGTTTTTTTTTATATCCATCATTAGGAATCCAAATTGTCCAGACGAAATGTAAACATAACTAGGTGAAATGAAAACAGAATGTTACAATCATGTAAGTTTAAGTCTATAAATGAATTTAATGTCATGATTTATGCCAACCATCAAATGTGACCGCCTACCGCAAATTGAGTTGGAATTCGCAAAACATAATTTTGGACTAAAGACAAAATAAGTGAAAATACTGATTTTGATCGAACTTGAGATTTTCATAAAAATGAGTCTATATATATAATATTTATCGACACAAAAGATCAAAATAGCAATAAAAGATTTTAGAACACCTGTATTTGAACCTTTTTTAAGAGTACCGTATTCTTAAATCTGTCCTATTTCTTAGTTATTTTTCCTCACTCGCAGCAGGACGACCGGTCATTCCTCTTGCAAAATAATTGCCATCGTTGTAAAACGGAGAATCTCTAGTTTACAAATATGATCAAAATATTGTCGATAAATTGATTTTGAACAGATACAATCGAGTTTGATTTTGAACAGATACAATCGAGTTTTAAAACCCCTAAAAAATATAAACAAACTCCACCCGTTGCCAGACTGTCTACACAACTCGTTTGCTGATTGACCCAGACACTGCATGCAAAACATTATGGTTATGTGGCTGGCTCAAGCGTGCGATAAATATTTGGCGATAATGTTTTTGGGTACCTACATGCGATTCACTCTGATAAGTGACAGAAAAAAATTAATTCTGATCGTATATAGATTGCCGTTGAGTGTTATTCAAAACCACGTGGCCGATTATGTAAATTAATCGACAAGCGGTGTGTGTCATTGAGTAATACTAATCAACTGTCACGGGTCAATGATAAAGCCTGAATAATTAATCCAAGCGGTGATTATTAGATATCTCAGATCATCTTTAAAAAGATAGGTTGCCAGGCAACGAAACATTTTTAATTTTATAATGGTTGTAAATTATATGAAACTCTTATGCAAACAAAGATAGGTTGCCAGGCAACGAAACATACGCCCACAGCAGCTATATATCGTCCGGGCAGTCAACAAGAGTTGTCGCATACTTTTACTTTTTTCGGTAATGAAACATTTATAATACATTAAAATCTGATTAAGAGTAACAACTCATTAAGTAATTATCAGAAAACCATTAGAATTTGTTTGGTTTATAAAAAGTTCTGCCCCATGCTAACGTTTAGTATACAAAACTTTTAACATCATGGATTTAGCTGTTCAAGTTAACTCTGTGTATCAATCTGAAGTCAATCGGATGATAACGTTAGCCTCTAGAGCGTCCACAAGATCTTTCAAAGTGATAAAGGGCCATAACTCTGGCAGTAATTATTGGAAATTGCTGAAAATCAATAGGAATCTTCGTCTCATGACCTTAAACACTGTGTATAAATTTAAAGTCAATCGGATATTAACTTTAGCCTCTAGAGCATCCACAATATTTTTCAAAGTGATCAAGGGCCATAACTCTGGCAGTAATTTTCGGAAATTGCAGAAAATCAATAGGCTTCTTTGTCCCATGACCTTAAACAATGTGTATAAATTTAAAGTCAATCGGATATTAACTTTAGCCTCTAGAGCGTCCACAAGATTTTTAAAAGTGATCAAGGGCCATAACTCAGGAAAAAATTATCGGAAATCGCTGAAAATCAAAAGGCTTCTTTGTCTCATGACCTTACACACTGTGTATAAATTTATAAAGTCAATCGGATATTAACTTTGACCTCTAGAGTGTCCACAAGATTTTTCAAAGTGATCATGGGCCATAACTCTGGCAGTATTATCATAAATTGCTGAAAATCAATAGACTTCTTCGTCTCATGACCTTAAACACTGTGTATAAATTCAAAGTTATTCGGATATTAACTTTAGCCTCTAGAGCGTCCACAAGATTTTTCAAAGTGATCAAGGGACATAACTCTGACAGTAATTATCGGAAATCGCTGAAAATCAATAGGCTTCTTCGTCTCATGACGTTATACACTGTGTATAAATTTAAAGTCAATCGGATATTAACTTTGACCTATAAAGCGTCCATAAGATTTTTTGAAGTGATCAAGGGCCATAACTCTGGCAATAATTATCGAAAATCGTTGAAAATCAATAGGCTTCTTCGTCTCATGACCTTAAACACTGTGTATAAATTTAAAGTCAATCGGATATTAACTTTAGCCTATATAGCGTCCACGTTTCAATGTGGGCATATAAAAATAATTTATAGGCCTTAAATGGAAATAAACAAAATGTCCAATCATTTTCTTTTCGAAGAGAATTTTATTGATAGCTGAATTCCGTTTACTGTCGATTCTTCATACGGCATGCAAAGTAAGGAATGCATCTTGGATATTATTGTTTAAAATTCTCTTATCACCATGGGTCGAAAAAATGAGAACGACCAACGAGCCGAAATGCGACAATTCTCAAGTCTGCCATGGTTTCATTACATCAAAGCCAAAATGCACAAAAGTGAACGTAAGCATTACCAAAATTGAATGGTCAGCTTTAAACTGGACACAAGTACAAATTAGATGATTTTTGGTGATTTTAAACAATTTTTAAACAAATATTTGATATTGAATGAATGTAAAAGAAATTAATGCTAAATACACAAGATTAAATGATACCCAAGCTACAGTGTCAGTTGTTTGCTGTGCTGTGATAACTTCAAGCTATACTTTTTGGGGGAATGAGTCTCTTCCAGTGGGTAATAGAATTTTGTGGCAACTGCTTCTTTTAATCACCTTTACTATACAAATGGTATTGCATAGTCACATATACTCTAAATAGTCTAAAACATTTACATAACTGCTATAATCTTTATTGGCAACCAGTACCAAGAGGCTCAATATTCTGAGCTGAAACTTTCAAACATGGTAAATGGGCTAGTTCTACACATTATGGCCCGGTAATTTGTAAACTTTCCCCCCAAGATCCAGTGGGATAAAGCAGAAAGGTCTAGTAACATGACTTAAAAGTTCAACTAACTGTTATTACCTGTAAAAGATGAATCAGCATCTTGCATGTAAGAGGGTTTAGCGATTGTTAAATGAACAACATCTTGAGTAGCTTTCAGAGCTTGTACAGCAACTTCATGTGTAACATCTTCAAGATTAACTTCATTTACCTGAAAATAATGACAAGATAAAAATATTTACTTGGTAGGTATTACTATGAGAAGATAATACCATTCAATTTATAAATCTATACTAGTTACAATTTGACAACCTGAATTTTCCATAGATGTCTTCAAAAAACATTGTCCTTGGCATAAACAATCCTTATTTAAAGGAGCTAGAATTAACACAAATGGATCACAATACATTATAATAATGTAATATGAATGTATATAAACTGATTTACATTCAATCGTTTCCGTTTTTACGCTTATTTCAAATCAGTTATTTTCGGCGAAATACACCAGAAGTCTCAATCGAAAGACAATTTCTAGAGTCGGGTTATTCCAGTCTACATAGTATTTATTGCGCATGCACTCCGGATAAGAATAATTATGGCATCACCGTTTGACATGACTTGTGGAATATGTATAGTCTCGTTCTTCGAGCCCCTTGTTAAAAACGCATTATGGTACACGATTCGTATACCAATGATAAAATGTTTATTTTGTCTTAAATATTGGATATCAGAAGCCCATCTTTTCCTTGTAAGATCACAACATTGCTGTTGATTTAAATTGACAAATAATTTGTGTTTTCAATGTTGAAGATTTTGGATGATATTGAGTTAGAGACTTAGCTACTTTAAACATACATTATGCAAGAGCTAAATCTGTCTATTGCAGATCTTTCTTTAGGCCTGAAATGTTATCTAAATTATTAATTAGACATTAATTAACCTATCAAGACATTATCAACTCTAGATGGCAGCGCTAGCCTGCGATCTTAAGTGGATTGTGAGCTGATTTACTGCACAACTTTCCTTCTCGATTTAACGATTAAATGGATAATCGAGACTATGCTGTTTATTGTACTGACTTAAGTAATGATGACCGAGGCTAGGGGGAAATTTCAGTCGCTTAGTTCTCGGTTCATAGTGGATCAATTTGAATGAAATTTTCAGCAATTTGCCTTTACATTATCTAGTGTTTAACTATTATAGTAAGAACTGCCAACTCGTTACCGAATCTCCTATAATGTATCTTTAAGTAACTAGAGCGTCTACAAACAATTGTGGACACCAGCTGGCTGGGGGCAACGACAATATACAACCACATTTCAATGTGGGCGTATAAAAACTGTAACAAATTTTCAATAGCCAGCAATAACCCACTGCAAGTACTTATAGTCCTCTGTACATTCTCCCATAACCAGGCACCATTGTATTTATACTACAGTACAATATGTAATACTACTAAGCCAAATTCCAGTACAGAATACAGATTGTTGACGAATCAGATACAATAAAAATGACTAATTTTACTCTGGATTTAAAAATACTGAAATATAAGAGAGATGGTTAAATAACTTTTAAGAGCTGGCTCAGATGCAAGAAAAAAGTTATCTTTAAAATTACGTACAGCAATAAGTCTGTCACCAACAGCAACACGGCCATCTTGTTCAGCAGCACCACCTTCTATTAATTTAGTTACAAATATTCCATTATCTCCTGGAATGTGTTGATTTCCTTTTCCACCAGCAATACTAAATCCTAACCCTGTAATATAAATCATTCAAATTAATAAACATACACATAATAAGGCAATGATCACCTGGGGATTTCATAAAGATATGTTGTCAGGCAACGTCTGCAGCAGATTTTTTTTTATTGCATGAGCAGTCCACAGAGGTTGTCATATATTATTCTTTTGTGGGTAACATGAGCATTCACACGATACAAAAAAATGATCAAAAGAAATCAATATTGACTTCTCATGAACATAAGTTCAAACAAACATCCCGTTTTCATTAGCCCAGTCGGGGCAGAACAGTAGGACGTTAAACCCCATTTCATTTCAAACAAACAGAATAATAATTTTAGCCTCTAGAGTGGCCACAAGATTTTTCAAACTGATTAAGGGTGGTAACTCTAACAGTAATCATTGAAAATATTAAGAAAACAAGCCAACAGTGAGGCTGATGTCCCCCACCTAAATCCTGAAATAAATAGATTACACATATTAATTAATTGCACATTTATCTTTTTCAAAAGTATTGAGCAATCAAACTGATTATTAACTATACACTCTCTATCAGATAGAATCAAAGTCAAGGAAATTGTTTAGCTCTGCTTAGTTTTAGCGGGAAATGTTAATCATTAATCATTGAACTCCGTCAAAACATTCACCTAATGAACATCAAGTTTAAACATTCTACCTCAATTAAAAGCAGAGTTGTTATGTTCCAAAGTCTTGACCAATCAAATTGCTTATCGCTCCTTAGCCTATGCAGAAAATTCTCATCAAACTTGTCAAGGTAATGATATAATGAATCTATACTCGGAGTTTCACAGCTCTCACTTAATTATAACCAAAGTTATCGTGCCCAAAAGCATCAACCAATCAAATTGCTCATCTCTGTTTACCGTACGAAGATAATGTTCATCATCGAACTCCATCAAGGCATTCACCTAATGAACGCCTACACCAAGTTTGAACATTCTACTTCCATTAGAAGGAGAGATTGTGTTTCAAAGTCTCGACCAATCAAATTGCTTATCGCTCAGAAAAAAAATGTTCATTATCGAACTTAGTCAAGGTATTGATGTGACGAAACCATACACCAAGTTACATCGCTCTCACTTAATTAGAACTAAAGTTATCGTATCCTAAAGTATCAACCAATCAAACTGCTTATCGCTCAAAAGAAAATGTTCATTATCGAACTTAGTCAAGGTATTGATGTGAAGAAGCCATACACAAAGTTTCATCACTCTCACTTAATTAGAACTAAAGTTATCATGTCCCAAAATATCAACCAATCAAATTGCTTATCTCTGCTTACCCTAAGCAGAAAATTCTCATCTTCGAAATCCATCAAGGCATTCACCTAATAAACACCTATACCAAGTGTGAGCATTTTTGCTCTTAGGAGAGTTATTGTGTTCCAAAGTCTCAACCAATCAAATTGCTCATCGCTCTGCTTACCCCGAGCAGAAAATATCCATTATCAAACTTAGTCAAGGTACTGATGTATGAAACTATACACCAAGTTTGATCAATCTCAATCAGAACTAAAGTTATTGTGTCCCAAAGCATCAACTAATCAAATTGCTTATATCTGCTTACCCTAAGCAGAAAATGCTCATCTTCAAACTCTATCAAGGCATCTACCTAATAAACACCTACACCAAGTTTGAAAATTCTAGCTCAATTAGAGTCACAAAAAGTGTGACGGATGGACAGATGGACAGACAGACAAACCCATTTTAATAGTCCCCTGCTTACTTTGAAAGGCGGAGAACAATGAAATGAAATGGGGTTTAACATCCTATTGTTCTGCTCTGACTGGGTTAATGAAGAAGGGCATAAACCATGCAGTGTGCTATGAGGGAAATTTTGGCCATAGCAGCGGCACTATGGCCTACTCTTATATCGAATTCCAACTGCCAAGGGATCTTTTACGTGCATGCCAATGTGTACACAGGACCTTGGTTTTCCGTCCCATCTGACCGACTAGACAGCTGTCCTTGTCAGGCCCTCCGTACTACACCAATGATAAGGGGAAACCACGTCAGAAAAGAAAATAATAAGCTTCATTGCCTCATGAATATGGCAGAGGGCTGGGGCCATTAAATTGGAAATGTAATTAATTACATTACCATTACTTTTTGAAAGTACTCATTATAATTACTTTCTCATTTTTAGCAATGTAATTAATTACCATTACCCATTACTTTTACCCCCACCCCAATGCACATATAACTGGTTTACTCATTTTAAATATATTTATTATATTTAAAGGTTAATTACAAAACAAGAAGCACTAATTAAGTCATAAAACCATTATCCTTATATAATATAAAAAAAACACTTTTCAGCAAGACAAACACATCACAGCAAGCACTAACTTAGTCAAAATAAGATTATCCTTATCACAAAAACATCACAACAAGCACTCAATGAAATTAACCTTATATCAAATCAGCGACTGCCAGGCAAGATACGCCCACATTTTGCAAGAGATGGATAGAGAACAAGCTAAAAAACAAAAGCGTTTTTTTGTACAATCAGGGGCCATAATCCAGAAAGTTATGGTCTGAAATGCGCAAATATCAAAAGTGACTGAGATCTTAATAAAGATATGTTTTAAGTTTCATCAAAATCGGAAAAAAATTGTGACCTCTAGAGAGTCCACAACCTTGATATACCATATTTTTACACTATTATAGCATACGAGGGGCGGCCATTTTCTGGCAGTTTTGGTCTGATTTTCACAAAATAATAATAACAATATATATTGTTTATAGACCATTAAACAAAAATTGTCTCAACCGTCTTTACATGGGCATACTACACAGTATATACATAATAATAAATGAATAAAAACTATCAATAACTCATATACAAATGTATGCCTATGTTTTGAGGTTGGATTTAAACAGGCTGAATTTGGTGAGTGATCCAACTCAACCATCATTAGGGTGTAACGGCGATGTATTCAAACATTTTTTTAAATTGGATAAAAACTCTTAGAGGGACCACAAGCTCAAAACGCAATTTTTCATATGATCAAGGGCCATAATTCGGGAAGTTATGTGATATAAGCATAAAATTAAAGGTCGCATGTTTTGAGGTTGGATTTAAACAGGCTGAATTTGTTGAGTGATCTAACTCAACCATCATTAGGGCACAGGCACTTGAAGGGATTAAAATAAAACTTCTTACTACTGCTTGACCATATTATAGTATATAAAAGGTATTTCAGCCGCCATCTTTGTTTTCACGTTTTCAAGACATTTCGTCTGCGATCATCTCACAATACTCACTTCTTGTCGTTTTTATTGCCAACGAGGCCTTATATGATCATTATTCATTTGATCATGGTCATTTCACGGCGTTAAGCAACTTCGAGAGACCACGAAATGAGGTCAAAGGAAGTCCCTTTTGTTTTTATTAGTAAGTCTAGATCATCCAGTCATTTGCTTTATTAACATATCCATTATACGAGATTTGCTTAGGGATTGGGTGATCTAGACTGCATCAAAACAAACCCACGTGTGTTTGTCTGTTAAAAATTAAAAAATGTCCCTGGTATTAACTCCAGAGCAAAGTCAGGCTTTTGAAATTATTAAAATGAACTATATTGTTTAACGGGTCAGGCAGGTACTGGCAGTGGCAAGAGTATTCTTGTGCACGAAACGTACAAACGTATTAGGTGTCACAAAAAAGTTGCTGTGACTGCAAGCACTGGTATAGCAGTTAGAAGATTCCATTTAAAGTAGTTAACCCCAGAGAAAATGATACTGACATTTCGGTGAGATTTCAGTGAAATTTGAGTGAAATTTGAAAATTTTGCCCAATTTCACTGAAATGACCAAATTTCACTGAAATCTCACCAAAATTTTACTGAAATAAAAATATATTTTGGTCTATTATTACTGAAATTTCACTGAAATAAACAAAAATTTTGGTCTACTGAAATTTCACTGAAATAAAATATATTTTGGTCTACTGGAATTTCACTGAAATATTTATATTGCAAATTTCATTGAAATTTCACTGAAATTACAAAACATAAAAATGTCATTTTTTCATTGCAAATATTTTAATAACTGCATATAAAGATTTGTAATTTGTAAAAGAGACCACTTCGAAATTATGGCCTAATAGTGTCAGAAGACGAATTGTTTTTAATTTCCATTAATTAATCACATTATTTCCTGAAGTAGACAATTTCATTGACGTTTATTTTATTCGTCCATCACCGTGCGTAATCCATGAACACATGCTAAGTAATATTAACTACATGTTTAAAATGATGTCTAAACTTATGAATGACTCAACATCAAAATTTTTTCCAATATGTTCCGATAATCATTGTATTATGATAGAATGGCTATTTTCTCAAATGTAACACACGTGTTTCAATAGCCATATTTGGAAACGAGGTCATCAATTACGGCACCCGTAAATTTCATTTACAGTAAATATTTTACGATCAATTAATATAATCATGTTTTAAAATCAATCTCTTTTATTGTGAAAAGAGAGAATAAATCTAACCCATCTTAATTTCAAATTTTGAGGTCATTGCCGATTAGCGTAAACAATGTCAATGACGGAGATCACAAGGGTGTCAGGTAACAGGTGAGCGGCACTGTTTTTAAAAATTTTGGAATGGAAAACAAACGAAGGAATTTTTAATTCTATAATGGTTGTAAATTATATGAAACTCTCATGCAAACAAAATGACCTCGCGTGCATGTTTCATTACTAAATTGATAAACTGGTGTCGCTATTTAAACAGATTACAGCTACCTAAGTTCTTTTCACCGTTTCGCTAAAGGCTTCCGAATTTTTAATCAAATGTTGAAATTCCTGGAAAAAAGGCGCATATTTGGAATAATAGAGCTGTATTTGTTCGCATAATTTTCTCGATTATATGACCCCCAAAACACCTATCACAGAATGGTTTGTTGGGATAAATTTCGAAGTAGTTAATTATAAAATGGATGTACTGATAAGGCATATTTTCAAAAGCAGTCATGGGGAGTAT